AATAAGTTTTAACAATAAGCATTTGGAATAATTTTCAAAAATGTTTTAATTTCATTGATATATTTTTAAACATCGAAATTATATCTCGCTTTTATCAATAAATGTATTTATTTTTTTTTTTGAGTTTCATAACACATATATAATATGAACTATAGCCTGAATGCGCATTTAAAAACAAATTTTTCGATAAAAATGAGATATAAATATGGAATTTTTAATTTTTTGAAAAAAACAATTTTCACAAACAAGCTGCCTAAGTTTTAATTTCTTTGAATATTGTTAGATCTTTTTAAATATATATAATCCTTCTTATCTTAAGTCTTTCAAATCTTACATTTTTCCAATAAGGAATAAGATTAGCTCTTGTGTATGTCTATGGAATCTTTAAGTCTTAAAATTAAAAGATTTTTATATTAAACATTTATATTCTAAGATTCTTGAAACATAATAGTATGTAATAGATCTTGATATTCGTAATCTTTTATTAAGTCAAATGAACAAAATGAGATTATAAATTTTCTTTTATCCTGTTAACATGTTAAAATCTTTTTTGTTACTTTTTATCACTTTTTTACTTATTTATCACGTTACCTTTTATCTTTATTATCACGTTTAAGTTTCTAATTTTCACTAGTTTTTATCTCGATGACCTTCTATGTTTTAAGTCAAGGTTTAATTGTCTTAATGAAGTAATTTTTTTTTTTTTCGCATGAAAAGAAACTGCTTTCACATGGATTATTTCGAAAAATTGTATAAAATTGTATGGAATGAGAGATATAACAAATCATTTTTTTTATTTATTGATTGAATAACTATACATTTCCTTCCGATAACGAGCAAAACGTTTATTAACACAGGTACCAGTCGCGTTACTAATTGGATGACAGAAGTTTATTACCGTCTGTGTTTCGCAACGCAATCGCGCACTGCGCTGTGTCGGCGCGTTATATTCCACCGAAAATTGCGAGCGGAGAATCTCGTGGACGCATGGAACTCGGCCAAATGCGATGTGCACACTATGACGCGCTGTATCACTCGTGTCGTGCGCGGGCACGAGTGAAAAATGTCTCACTTTACACCGTAGTTTCAGTATCACCATTTAAGTAACATATCGCGGTAACTTCGCCTACCATCGACCGAGTGAGTTTTGGCACGATGGATCGATAATACGACATAGCGCATTTAATTATAATACTATTCGATGCGTTTCAGAAATAATTTTTGGAAGCTGATTTAGTTGAAAAGTTTTTATTTTCGAAACTTACTCAGCTATTCTTATGATACTTTTCAACTTGGATGTTTCAATATCATTTGGATATTAAAATCTTAAAAGTATTCGAATTTCTTAATATTGTGATTGTCGAAAGCAAAAGTGAAAATTGCAGGCTTTTATGATAATTGCTTTATATTTTTTTTACAATAGTAAATTTTTATATTCTGAAACTGATCCAAATCTCAGTCTTGGATTAATTTGAAACTAGCATAATAAAAATTAAGGAAGAATTAAATGTTATGTATTGAAAACAGATCATTAATATAAAATATAAAAAAAGGACAGCTTTTACGTTATTATTCCAATTTTCTATTATCTGAGAAGAAAAGAACTAGAATTCCAGGAATGTTTTTTTTTTTTTTTTTTTTTAAAGGTAAATAGAACAATACTGCTTCTTGTCTTTTCTCATGTTGAATTACCAGAACGATTATTGTTCGTGATGTAATTCGATTCCTACTGCGTTCAGAGAGACAGTTCGATCTCGGTTTACTTGAGTGCTCTAATACCTCGGGATATTAGGATCTTAGAAGAGAATTAACTGAATAGTGATCGGTCCAATGGCATGCCAGGGATTTTATAACGAAAACAATTAATCCGATCGTCACTCTTTCGTACGAAGAAAGTAAACAGTTTAAAAATATCTATTAAACGTGTAACGTGTAAATTTAGGAGACGGTATTTACAGTC